CAAGCCTCTTCTTTTCAGAAGAAAATGGCAGCTCCTATTGGTATATTTCAAAAGATTTAAGAAACAGGTTCCTTCCTCCATGCAGGTTGATACCTCCCACGCATATGGTCGGTTCCGATATTTTGGGTGATCAAAAGAGTGCGCATCTTATCCCACACATCATAACCAATGGAAATCAAGTTCAAGCGAATGGGCTTGTAAGAGGTGCAAAAGTCATCGTCCACTATCTTCAAATAAAAGGAGTGCAGTGAAGATAAGATTCCCCCAAATGGACAATTCAGTAATTGCGGATATGCTACTGCTCAGACTTGGTGGAACTTTTGAGACCTGCCTCACCCCGTCCGAATACTCCTACACTTCATTTTCAAACACTGCAATTCCTTACCGGTTGTCCAGGCAGTCCTGGTGGTCCGATCTCTCCTCGATCGCCCTTCTCTCCTGCGTGACCCGGTAGACCTTGTGGGCCTCGTGGTCCAGCTGGTCCAATCTGTCCAGGAGGTCCCTGAATAGAGCGGATCAACAGCATGATCTTTAAAGAACCAATTGTAAAGGCAGGACTTGCCTGTGGTCCAGGCACACCTGGTGGCCCAGGATATCCGTGTTTGATACGGATTTCCTTGAGTTCTCGTCTAATGACCGGCATAAGATCTCGAGCAAGAGCCTCCGGGTCATCAAGTCCTCTCGAGGTGGGGCAAGTCTGATTACAGACCCCTGGTTCCCCGGGCTTCCCCTTAAATAGTGAGTAAATTTAAATCGATACAGTAGGATTTTGTAAAGAAATACAAAATATTAGTGAGGTTTTTCTAGGCTATAGTTATAAATTTTTTGGGATCGGCTCCAAAAGATGATTTGTTCCACAAGTAATAAGCCTTGTAATTTGCCCAACGTTGGCGGTCGCGAAGCGGCTACTATCGCAATCAATAATTCAACAATGGAGAAGAAAAGGGCAAGGCTTTCTGCGTTGCACAGTCTCCTTCTGAAGTGCGCCACGTATCTTACTTCCAGTCTGTATTGTACTACGCAATGACTTGCGAGGTCAGCCAATGTTGCACTCATAGAGTTTGTATCCTCCCAGAGAAACCTGGTACAACTTGCTCGAAACCGGAGGGATCCCCAGATCGTATGCGATAATTTGCCCCACCGCTTTATCACATTCCAGCTACATAAGCAAGTTTCGATCATGATACTGCTTAGCGACAAAAGAGTGTCCTTAATCAAGCGGAGCCGCGTTGCGACCGCACGCGTCTCAAGTCTGCCACACAGGACTTGGGCGGGTCCGAGGACTGTATTTGAAAGGAATATTCGATTTTTAGAAAAAATCTAAATAATTTGTTCATACTCACCGATTGGCTGTTGCTAATAAAATCACTCACAACTTAACACCACCAGACAACACTGTTATTCACATATTTAAGCCAGGCACACGTCATTGATACCAACAACCGCGAACGCATACGCAGCGCATGCACATTCACTGACGCCGCCTCACGCGGCCTCACGTTGTCCCATTGGACACTAAGGTGCACACTATTTACGAACTGAAGAATAGCTTATGCTTACTCGTCGTCCTCGTTTGCCGGACATTCCCTCGGGACCTGGTGGTCCCATCGGACCCGGCGCTCCCATCTCACCCTGAAACAACGACTTAACGCCTTCGGGTTAGTCGGGTTAGCAACAACCACACTTAGACAATAATTAATCAATACACTACCCATGTATGTGCCCTAGGCGTTATTCCGGCGGTAATAACACAACGGGTTGAAAATCTGACAAGTTGACTCAGATGGGTATAGGTAATTGGTCCGGAATAACGCCCTGGGTCAAAGAAACACACAAAGTTCGTCGGTTAGTGGCCTTAATCCCTGAAAGTGAGCGCTGGGTACAGCCAATGAACTCACCTTTTCGCCTTTCTCGCCATTTACTCCGTCTCTACCTGGCGGTCCGGGAGGTCCATCACGATCTTGAAGAAAAAAAACAGAGGAAACGAATAGGATCGAGTATTTATGAGTGTGAGGCAGTTGTGGACAAAGACATTTTCCGGGCTGCCACAGCCGATCCTCCTGGAGATCCAGGGAATCCTCGAGGTCCTGCTACTCCTGGATCACCTCGATCTCCCTTCTCGCCCTGAATCAATTACGGTGTATCATAGAAAAGGACTGGTGATCAATAAACAAAAATAAATAAAGCAATTTAAAGATGTCAAAATGGGTCAGCTGAGTCTATGCCCATAGGTTCTATCTCCGGCCGACTTTTGTCGGTCCCCACAAGAACATCGCAAGGCTCATCCCGGTTGAGTTTTTCAAAGGAACTCATTAAAAATTTGAAAAAATGTGCAAACCACTTCACGGAACATCTATATTTACCAGGCTAAATACACTGCTGATAATGAATTAGCAATCTATACACTACACGAACGTCACACTACCTGTGGCCGACGTTGTCGGGTCGTCCATCCTGTCCGCGAGCACCGGGTGGTCCCGGAGGACAGAATACTGGTGGTGCAGGAGGTGCAGGTGCTCCTGGTGTTCCTGGTGGTCCTGGAGGTCCAGGTGGCCCAGGAACCAGCATGAGCTTGGGCGGTGGCGATGATGGCTGTACGTGGCTGGAGCTCCGGGTTCACCCTACACAACACAACCACTCACAAAAACGAGCAAGAAAGAACCGAAGAAAAGGATGAAATAAAGAACGAAGCAAAACATGCATGTGGACTCAAAAAATAGTCCAGGCTATCTTCAGCGCCCTTCAAAAATGTGCCAAAATACAGGTAATCTGACGAGCACCAGCACCTTTTCTCCGCGTTCGCCTGGAGGTCCACGCAGTCCCGGGATACCGTCACGACCGGGCTCACCATGTTCTCCTTTTGGTCCGACCTTAAACGATTTGTATTGATTGTTGTTCGAAACTGATTCTAAAAACTGATTTGTAGAGCGGATCTCATCCAGGTAAGGGGGGGGGGCATGTGAATTCGACAAATTGCGCAGTGTCCTAAAACGTTCAGTTTTTTTCGAGAGGACAGCGCGCTCTAGTGGACTTCCATGATGGTGAAAATTCTGAAAGCGACCGTAACAGTCGAACTTTACTCATCACTCCGCACCCCCCCCCCCCAAAAAAAAAGTCTAGGAGTTTTTTTAAAATTGGGCGACCAGAAAAGATATATGCCAGAAGACTAATAAATTCACTGAACTGATATGTGAAAAAGGTGTGCGACGAGTGCGCAAATATTATCGGTGCGCACGGAAAGGTTACTTGAACTCGGCCTGTGGATTGCTCGTCAAAGTCACCTTCAGTCGCTATCTCCGCCTGGAGCAGCGATGTACAGTCCCGTAACCTCACCGACCGCCGAAAAGCTTGCGCAAATCGAATTCACCCGGTGCCTCTTTCCATCTTGCAGATGTCTTAGCGTCCGGCGGCACTACCGATCCAATACCATATCGAAGACATGTAGCGCTGGTTCAACAAGCAGTTTGATGGCCTTAGCTGTCGCGGCAGGAATATTATGGAGCAAGGTGAAGTAGTAAGCGTCGTGGACCCTTAAGGGACTCTTGGCACTCTCTTCCTGTTTAGGTCCCCTCGATCCTTCTGGCTATAGTCGTTAGTTTTTTTTCAAGAGTAGCGGAAAGGAAAGATTGTCCAAGAATCGCTTCTCCAACCTTTCCTTTTCTGCCTTGGAAGTTGGAGGCAGCCTGTCGAGAAAACAATAAGATATGTATTCTCAGGGCTAGCAAGGCGGAAAAAGGCGTTTCTCAGTGATCTCTATGTTTGCCGGGAACTGAACTACTAGCGGATCAAGGGCATGCAGGGATAGGTACATGATGTAGAACATTGTACCAAGCCCGACGGCTAGAAAATCGTTACTCCCGGTGGACAAGCACGGGGATACCCCATATTGAGAAGCATGGGAACCATCATACCTTGCTTTCTCCGTCGAATCCAGGTAGACCGCGGTCACCTTTTATTCCAGGTTTTCCTTCGGGACCAACAGGACCCATTGGACCTGGAGGGCCAGGCGGTCCTGGTGGCCCCTGTATCATCAGCGGTGAATTCGGCATGGCGGGATCCAACCTTAAAATGTTCTGCTAAATGGAGAGTTTAAAACAAGTAACACGTTCAACTTCACGTAATGAATCAGCGGAACTCCGATCGATCGTATCGATTTATTGATCGGCTGCATTTTAGCAAGAGGGCTCCGTTACTATACATTATGGACAAGCACCTTGTGTCGCCACGATGTCAACAAGAAATTGAAGAGGATAGTCAGCTGAGGGATATGGCACCAGTTTTTCTGTGTTTCTTCGAGAACCAGAGAAGCAGGAGCTAATCTGCTTCTCTGCCCTCAGCTGACTAGTCCTCTTACATTCCACTAAAACACAATAGGAACATGCGGTCAGCACAACAATCTCGTTACTCTATATTCGTTGTAAAGATGACTCTTCGATTTATTCACAGCCCTCCAACCGTCTGGTGAATCGGCCTGATAACAAATCACGGTAGAACAAAAAACAATAGCATCCCACAGCAATAACTTAATCAGGCAGAGAAGTTTTGAAGATATCATTCGTTTTCTTCCAACAAACAACTATGCCGTAGCACACCCACATGACTATGCTCCCTTGCGTTTTGCTCAGAAGCACCCTCCACCCTAACCAATGGAGTAGGAATGTCCTGGAGCCCGTCAGAAGAGAAAAGGAAAAGGAAAAGAGCTTCCTTGTTCTACACTAAAGGAATCTAAGAGGTAGAGAGGTAAGAGATAATGGGCGCCGAGGAGAGAGAAAAGACTACCAGACGAGGAGGGCTTTGTGGGCGTGCATACAAGGATCTAGACCTAACGAAAAGCTACTGGTTTCCTGGTGACCCGTTTAAAGACGCGAACGTGGCACGGGATCTGCAACTCTGGACCTAGCTATTGCATCTAGGGCAGGGATCCATCCAATCAAACTGATCGCATGGTGTGCCTTTAATCTTGAAAAATGGCTGATTTTCCTTTCGCCCTTTTCTATTCAGAGAAACTGATGAAAATAGAGCTCACTCTCGGTTGAACAAAATCAAACACGCCCACGCAATTACGGCACTGCTATTTGACTTATAACAATGAATGTTAATCTCCACAGTGTTCTTGAATTTCAAAGTTATTACCTGTATCTGACCATGGATAGGGCCACCACGGTCACCTTTCGGACCCGGATAACCGGGTGGTCCAACAGGACCTCGATCACCGCGTTCTCCTTTTGCTCCTGGAGTTCCCTAGAATTGGAGGACTAGTTCCATGTAAGGATTCAACAAAGAACGAGGACCAGAACCGACTGCACAGCACACTTCGATGGCAATGTGAGCACCTCGAATGTTCCCAGCACTCGTAGCTCACGGGCCGAACGCTTGATTACCGAGTAAACGTAGCGATATACCCGACAGGAGGCCCGTCGCGCGGCGAGAAGGCAGAGACGCAGACGAGTCAGCGGACGAGTCGCAGCGCGTGCTGTGTGATGTGGGACGTACTATAGCACACATTCTATTAACTTGACGCGAAATCGCTGCAGTACGCGCTGCGACTCGTCCGCTGACTCGTCTGCGTTTCTGCCTTCTCGCCTCGCGACGGGTCCCCTGTCGGGTACCCAACGTAGCGCATTACTTTTGGAGGGTCAGATGATAGCAAATCGCTTGCACTGTTTTGGAAGGGGGTCGGATTTACGGCATGTCCAGTGCCGAGACAGTCGATAGTCTCACATTGCCATCACTCTCTCAAACATGCCTATAACCTACCGGTAAGCCTCTTGGGCCATCCAAACCTATAGGACCCTGAAATCTTGGATTATTCACATGTCATTATGCGAGGATAGCCGATGCGTCATTCCTACAGTAGCCGTGGCCTACGGGCCAGGACAGTTTTCAAAGCGTGACTGCCACACAGGTGGTGTTCTTAGGCAGTTACACCTGGCCTTCTGCGATCGCCGCGTGCGACGGCGCGGCGGCGACCCCAGGAGGAGAACTGCA